GCAATGCAGGAGGGCCTTGATCCAATTGCAGACTCAAAGCATATTTGTGAGGTCCTGAAAGCTTAGTGGTTAGAGCACTCACCTTGCAAGCAAGATGACCTGGGTTTGATTCCCGGGCAGGGTGAAAGGTTGGGCAAGTTTCCTTAATCCACACGCCTCTATTTACCTAGTAAGTAGGAACCTGGTTGTTAGTCAATTGGTGGATCACTTTTCAGAGGGTAATAATCCTTTCAAAATAAATATAAATTTAAAAAAGTCATCACTCAATCCATAACTGTTTGTGGGACACTGCTGTGTGCAATTGGCTGCTTCGTTTCGCCCACAAAATATACAGTCTATTAACTTTATGTTCTCTGAAGCTTTGAGACATCTTGAAGACTTGATAAGCCTCTGTATCAAATGTAAGCATTATTAATATTATTTTTATTATTATTATATTGTAAGCTTTGATCCTCCATCAAGCGTGAAACCTGTTCTCAGGATAGTTTAGCAGAAAGAGTGAGTTATGAAGATATAGAGAAACTCTGTTCATATGGAGGTAAATTAATACATCTGATAGGTGGGACCTTATTTGGGAACCTGGAGGATGAGCATGATTACAGGAATCCATACTGACACACAAAAAATGTACCTGTTCTTTCAAATTAATTGTCTGGTAAGGTATTAAGTTAAAATATTTATGTTTGTCACTTTAACTAATGAGTTCACATGAATGATCTGAGGCAATGCTTTGTGTGCCAGCTTGGTTCAGTTGGTAGCAATCTTGTCTCTGATCAGAAGGCTGTGGGTTCAAGCCCCATATTGGCATTTGATCTCATAGATAATTTTTTGAGGCATTTTTTTGGGGGGCTAGGATCGAGTGAGGTGTTAAAAAAATGATTGTCTGGGCATTAAAGATCCCGTTGGCACTATTTCAAAAGAAAAGGTAGTTTCTTTCGGTATCCAGTTGATACTCCTCCAGATTAATTGGTTATTCACTTAAAGGATGTTTAAGGGACCTCTCTATGCACAACATAACCAGGTTTACGCACAAAATCAGTCAAGAGACATGACAATAATTACCATTTTGAGAGGTTGGAAATTATGGCACCACATCAAATGCAAGGCCATGTGTGTATCTAGGTTATGTTTCCACATGTCTCTGGTACTCCATTTGCTTTTAGAGATGACCCCTATTGTCTCTTATGCAGGGATATGTCATAGCACAGACCTACTGTTACATTAGTGCTATGCCGTTCCCCAATATGCCCACTGATGTGTTAACTAAAATTGGTTTATGTTGTTTATCTAACTCCAAGTTTTTTGCTCCTCCATCCTGCCATCATCAACAGTGGCCTGGAGTACTGCAAACCTGCTTGGCTCAGTTATTGAATTACTGAGAACACCACAGAGGATTGAGTCAATTGTAGTCTTCCATCGCTAGGTGTGTCACCTCAGCTGAGTCCCAAAGTGCTAACCCCACACCCTACCCAACTCCTCTGATCTTTACGGCCATAAAAATATGTGAGTTTTAGGTTGTTAAAGAAGCCATAGCTGTTTCAGTTTGCACCCAATAGTTGAAATGTAAAGTAAAAAAGGCAAAAAATAATGATAACTAGAAAAATCTGTTGGGTGGGGGAAGTGACTAACAGCATTCTGCTGGGACCTGTCTGGGTCCTTTCAATTCACAATACAGTATTTGAAAATGATTTGGAGGAGAGCATTTGTTATTACATTTGCAAATTTGCTGATGATTCAAAGCTCAGTGAGCCTGTGACAAGAGAAGATCAGATTAAACAGCACACCCAGGAAATTTAAGTAATAAAAATTGAAAGCAAATTGTGAATTATTTCAGACCTAATAAAAACTCCAAACTTACAAAAAATTGGGAATCGCCCTATAGCCTGATATAAAATAGCGCTAAAAAAAGTCATGTTTTTAACATAAGCTGAACTCCGTCAAGCTCATATAAACCAAATATAACATGCTGATACATTGACACAGACAAGACACTAACCCAAAAAACACACACACATTAACAGACACATGCTGATAAACTGTGACAGACATGGTTATCTATTGACAGGTTGACACACAAAATAAAACATTGGTAGACATATATAATATGCACTCGCTGATCCATTGACACATAAACACACACACACACACACACACATTGATCAACTGACATATTCACACGTATAAAATACAAAGACAAAAACCTATATAAATGGCTAGACTGAGCAAAATAGGAGATAATAATATAATCCTTACATTTGATATAGGCTTTATCATAACTTCGAGAACATCCTATAAAGTGAATTAACAGTGCATTTTGTGGGTGAAATCAGGCAGCCAACTGCACACAGCAGTGTCCCACAAACAGTTATGGGTTGAATGACCAAATTTAAAAAAATTTTAAGGTATTTTTACCCCTGGAAAAGTGATCTGCCAATTGATTAAGAACTGGGTTTCTACTTACTGCTAGGTCATCAGGGGCATGAGGAGTAAGGAAACTTGCCTAAGGTTTTGATAAGCTTAATAAATGCCATCCAAATATATATATAAATAAACCATTGTAGATTTCAGTAATAATAATAAAATCCTTGCATTTGATATAGAGCCTTAGCACGTCTTCGAAACATCTCATCACTTCATATCCTGTAAAGTGGATTGGCTGTATTTGGCAGGTGAAACAAAATAAAAAATAAGTCCTAAATTGACCGTTTCATAATAATTAATGATTTTTTAAAAGTAAATTATGAAACCTATTCCGGCTGTCAGTCACTCTATACAAATTCTTATTGAGTTAAGTACATCTGTCAGTAGGTTAATGGGTTTATATGCTGTCTATGGCACGTCAGCAAACTTGCAGGGCGCTGTGTTCTGAAAAAAGTGGTGGGTAAACCTTTTTTTAGTGTATAGTGTAAACTCTGTAGTGAAGTGTATTGAACTCTTGACAGCTCGATTGGGAAATGTGTTTAACAAAGTAGATAAAGATTGTTCCGCTTTAGAAGAGGAAGAAATGGCATCATCAGCCGCCTTTTAACCTGACACTGAAACATTCTGCTGATTGAGCTGCTTTGCTGTCAGCTGTATCTTGACATGTGGCTGATCTCTGGGATGACCGCAATGTGATTTCTAAAATGTTTATGTTCACAGTAATGAACTGCTGAAGAATATTGATGGATAAACCTGAGCACTACAGTCAGCCTAACATCAGCGGGAGGGCAACTTCTGGAGACTATAATTCTCAATTAGAAAAATGGGTAAAGCTCCTGTTCGCTTAGGGTGCAACTGTGTCACTGTGTCTGTGTGTCTGTCTGTCTGTGTGTCTGTCTGTGGGTGTGTGTCTGTGTGTGTCTGTCTGTCTGTGTGTCTGTCTGTGTGTGTCAGTGTGTGTGTGTCTGTGTGTGTGTGTCAGTGTGTGTGTCTGTCTGTGTGTGTGTGTGTCTGTGTGTCTGTCTGTCTGTGTGTCTGTCTGTGTGTGTGTCTGTCTGTGTGGGTGTGTGTCTGTGTGTGTGTCTGTGTCTGTGTGTGTGTCTGTGTGTGTGTGTGTGTCTGTCTGTCTGTGTGTGTCTGTCTGTGGGTGTGTGTGTCTGTGTCTGTGTGTCTGTGTGTGTGGGTGGGTGTCTGTGTGTGTGTCTGTCTGTCTGTGTGTGTCTGTCTGTGGGTGTCTGTGTGTCTGTGTGTGTGTGTGTGTGGTGTGTGTGTGTCTGTGTGTCTGTCTGTGTGTGTCTGTGTGTGTGTGTGTGTGTGTCTGTGTGTGTCTGTCTGTCTGTGTGTGTCTGTCTGTGGGTGTGTGTGTGTCTGTGTGTGTCTGTGTCTGTGTGTGTGTCTGTGGGTGTCTGTGTGTGTGTGTCTGTGTGTGTGTGTGTGTGTCTGTGGGTGTCTGTGTGTGTGTGTCTGTGGGTGTGTGTGTGTGTCTGTGTGTGTGTGTGTGTGTCTGTGGGTGTCTGTGTGTGTGTGTCTGTGTGTGTGTGTGTGTGTGTCTGTGGGTGTCTGTGTGTGTGTGTCTGTGTGTGTGTGTCTGTGGGTGTCTGTGTGTGTGTGTCTGTGTGTGTGTGTGTGTGTGTCTGTGGGTGTCTGTGTGTGTGTGTGTGTGTGTGTGTGTGTGTGTGTGTGTGTGTGTGTCTGTGTGTGTGTGTCTGTGGGTGTCTGTGTGTGTGTGTGGGTGTGTGTCTGTGTGTGTGTGTGTGTCGGTGTGTGTGTGTGTGTGTCTGTGGGTGTGTGTCTGTGTGTGTGTGTGTCTGTGTGTGTGTGTGTGTCTGTGGGTGTGTGTCTGTGGGTGTCTGTGTGTGTCTGTGGGTGTGTGTCTGTGTGTGTGTGTGTCTGTGTGTGTGTGTGTGTGTCTGTGTGTGTCTGTGTGTGGGTGTGTGTGTGTCTGTGTGTGTGTCTGTGTGTGTCTGTGTCTGTGTGTGTGTGTCTGTGTGTGTGTGTCTGTGGGTGTGTGTGTGTGTGTGTCTGTGGGTGTGATAAAGCGGCAGATCAAAAGCAGTGTGTGGAGGGAGGAGTGATCGCGCAGAGCAGAGCAGTGTAGTGTAGTGCAGTGCAGTGGTTGGTGATTCGCTCAGACAGCGAATCGCTGCGGTATATCGCGCTGTCAGCGGAGCCACAGGAAGACCCGATGTGACTCGAGCCCCTGAGCCCTGAGCCCCGTCACAGCCGCGCGGAGCCGCGGGAGAGCCTCTCCCCAGTCAGTCAGTCAGTGAGTGAGTGAGTGCGGGACTCGGGCTGGTGAGCCGCGGCAGTGCCCGGGACGCCCCCCACCCCTCGCCCTGACAGTGCCCGGGACGCCCCCCACCCCTCGCCCTGACAGTGCCCGGGACGCCCCCCACCCCTCGCCCTGACAGTGCCCGGGACGCCCCCCACCCCTCGCCCTGACAGTGCCCGGGACGCCCCCCACCCCTCGCCCTGACAGTGCCCGGGACGCCCCCCACCCCTCGCCCTGACAGTGCCCGGGACGCCCCCCACCCCTCGCCCTGACAGTGCCCGGGACGCCCCCCACCCCTCGCCCTGACATGGCGGCACTGCACAAACGCACCGCGAGGAACTTCGAGGACCTGACTTTGGATTCTGGCTATGGCGGAGCTGCCAACTCCTTCCGATCCTCCAACCTGTCCCTGTCCCAGTCCGGCACTGACGTGGCCTCGGGGCCCGGGGGCCGCTGGTGGACACTGCCGGGGTCCGGGGACGGCAGACACATGGCGAGCTGTGACACCCTGGACACCGGGTTGGCTGAAGGCAGCGAAGGGTTGGAGGGTCCGGATTATGGCCCCAAACTGCCTCACCTGGAGGACATCCCTTGGACTGAAGAGGAGATACAAGAAGTCCTCACAAAGTGTCAGATCAGGGAAGCCAATGGGAATATTCCTCATGAGTTACTGAAGAGATTGTCCACCTATCTAAGTAGGGTCTTGGTTCGAATCGCCAGAGAGGCCCAGAGACTAAGTCTCATGTGCGCCAAGTGCACCAAACACGAGATCCAGAGCGCTGTCAAGATGGTGCTCTCCTGGTCTCTCTCCGAGAGTTGCATAGGAGCTTCTGTAAAGGCTCTGTCTCTTTATAACATGAGCTCTGGGGACCAGTTCAACAGCTCAAAGAGCTCCCAGTGTGGCATTGTGTTCTCAGTAGGTCGCTTTTTCAGGTGGATGGTGGACAGCAAGGTGTCCACCCGCATCCACCAGCACGCAGCTATCTACCTGGCAGCCTGCATGGAGAACCTCCTGGAGGAGGTCTATCTCAGATTACTGGAGAACCTATCCTTACAGGGGAAAAGCATGACAGAAGCCATTGAGAAGAAGCTGGAGCAAACAATTAGCAATGATGCAGAACTTTGGGGGCTTTTCCGGCCAATTGAGCCATTGATCTGTGGGAAGAATGCTTATGGTAGGTCAACTTACACTAACTTACAACTTAACATAATAGAACTTTTTTAGAGATAACTCGTGATATAGCCAAATGCTAATAATCCCTGCATTTGATATAGCGCCTTATCACGTCGTTGAGACGTCTTAAAGCGCTTCACAGAATATATTGTAAAGTGGATTTACTGTGCATTTTGTGGGTGAAATGCAACAGCCAATTGCATACAGTAGTGTCCCACAAACAGTCGTGGATTGAATGAACAAATTGAGTCACCAAATGTTAGCCAAATCTTTCTATAAATCAGCATTCCTTCTGCAATTGATATTAGATAGTTCCTTTTTTTGGTCTGTTCAGTATTACTCTTTACTCTGTTTCCTTCCCATCTGCTAATATGGTTTTATTTCAATCTTCAACTGTCAAACCTCAGCTATAGTGATTAAAACATGATCCTAATAAGGATTAATTTTTGCCCCGTTTCCCCTCCCATGCTAAATCAGGGGGAGAATAGCCCAATTTTAGCATTTAGAGACTGCCACATTAAATAGATAATAATAATAATAATTCTTGCATTTGATATAGCACTTTATCATGTCTTTGAGACGTCTCAAAGCGCTTCACAGAAGTGAATTGACTGTGTATTTTGTGGGCGAAACATGGCAATTAATTGCACACAGCAGTGTCCCACAAACAGTCGCAGTGTCCCACAAACAGTCGTGGATTGATTGATCACATTGTTACCCCTGGAAAAGTGATCCACCAATCGACCACCAATGGGTGGGTTCCTACTTACTGTTAGGTAAATAGAGACATGTGGAGTAAGGAAACATACCCAACGTTTCCCAAGGTAAGTCCTCTCACTTGCGAGGCAAATGCTCTAACCACTAAACTACAGGACTCCACAAAGCTGTGATGCAGAATAAACTCCTCTCTACTTTCCCCCAAACCAAATCTTGTCTCTCAAAGCCAGAAGTGCAGACCTTTGTTATACAACTACAACAACAAGATTACGTTTGTATAGCGCCTTTCACATCGGGAGGACAGCTCTGAGACCATGAATTCTAGTGATCAGATCAGCAATGGCTGGAGCTCCTGACTCGCAGATGTGAATATTCCCCTTTCCGACACTGACCATAATTGTAATCTTGCTGCCCGCCAACCCAAATCTGTGCTAAATTCTGGGAGGGTTTGTGCTGTGGGAAGGTATTTACTTTTCTCAAGAACAAGCCTTACAATCGAACGGGAAAATTTATAAATATCCCATCCTATGAGTTTGATTTAAACCTAAATCCCAGAGTTGTCAAACTACTGTTCTTAAATATAGTAGTGCTCAGTGTTCGTTGATGATCTTTTAACCAGTAAAATAAGGTGAATCCCAATTTGTGTAAGACATTGATTTTAATATCAGGAATTCATAAAAAAGGGATATTTGGGGAGTTGTGTTGCTCACTCTTTGTCTTTTAGTTGGACTATGGGGTGTTTTTCCATGTTCTTGAGTCTCATTTATACTTTGGGAAACTCTGCTATAATATTTAATTAAAGAGACTGTTGAATGACCAAATATAAATTGAGTATATTGGTATAGTGGAACAGGCTCCCTAGGGAGACGGTTGAAGCAGGAAGTGTTGATTCTTTCAAACGCAGATTAGATATTCTAATTTTTTTTTCGGAAATAACATTATGGGATATATACATAGGTAGTTTGGAACATATGTGCATGCGACTGCCAGGAAGGTGGAATGCGAACTAGATGGACCTGGGTCTTTTTTCTTATGAGTAACAGTTTCAGCTATGCATCTTTCCAATCTCCCAAAGAGATTCAGTGATAAAATTCACTTTACAGTATATTCTGTGAAGCGTTTTGAGATGTCTCAAAGACATGATAATGCTCTATATCAGTTGGCAATGTTTGTGTCAAAGAAAGTTTGATTGTTGAGCCATTGTTGAGATTAAAAAGGAGTTTAGAATCCTACTGCAATGGCCATTCAGCCCTTCAAGCCTGTGCAGCTCTTTGAAAGAACCAGTAGAACACTAGAATCAGAGCTCACTAGACTCAGGCGGGGACTGCCCTGCCATCCCATCATCTGACCTGTTCGGGTGGTCGTAAAGACATGGTTCGGGTCCACATTTTCTTTTGACAATTTAGGGTCCAGAGAGGTTTTGGGGAGGATTGGGCTTGTCAACGGGGACAACCCTTGTTCCCAAAGTGGAACGTTTTGATCGAATTCAGTCAATGGGGGTGAGCAGGTCTAACCTCGCTCACCAATAAAAAAATCCAACTATCCCCACTCCCCCCCACTCCACTCTTTCCCCATAGTCTTGCAATTTTCCCCTCTGGTTCTTCTAAATTTTGAAACCCTTTAAAAGGTTTAAGTAACCTTTCAAATGTAACTGCAACCACATTTTTGCAATAATATAAATTACATTGCCTAATTGCGTCAACCAGAAGTGTCCTCACCATGGTGAGGAATACATTTCTCTATTTCCCTGCAACAGAAAACAATTTGTCAATGCAACTTGTTTTATAAAGGCACCATCTCTGTAGAGTAAAAAACTTTTTATCCCAAGAGAAATTTTAATGACACATCCAGCAAAAGTCTATTGGTGCTGAAGGAGTTAAACTTCCTGTGAATAGAACGTGGCTCATGTTGAAGGAATTCAGCTCCTGGTTCCCAAACTGATCCTATAATGTCAGGCGTAATCCCTGTATTAGAGCTACTCATTGATCAGTTAAACTCCAGCTTTTGTACAGAAAATGCAAACACGCAGATGTCAATTAAACTGTTTACTCCTATGTTTTTTAAATGGTTACAAAACAAAAAAGGGGGGGGAAGAATCGTTACCGCCCCTAAAATACTGTCAACAAGTCAAATTGGCATTTCAGCCATTTACTAACCTGCCAGTGTACAGTGTAACTGGGCTGTTATAGACAGATCTAGATGTGGCCACACAATGTTGTATTTGTCTGTTTTATTATGAATAAGTATTCATTTGATTTGAAATCATTGCCGAATCATGTCCCAATGTTTAAATCCTGAAACGTTTCTCTATTTGTTTGATGACAATGGCCCAGGTGATCAGCCTGTTAGGTCGGTCGTTCATTAAAACCCAAGCCCAAAGTCTTTAGCATTGAAATAGTTAATGCAATTTATTATGGCTGCAGTATTTTGGAATCTTTGTATACGCATGTGGAAATGTGTGTGTGTGAGCTTTGTAATATGTACCTAGAAATGGACAAGATTGGAAAAGACTATTGTGGTTTGTTTGCCTGCTTCCAAACGTAAAAATGCAATATAATTCTATGCTACTCAAAACTCTCAAAACTTTCCATTCAATTCTTTGTAAATAACTAATTCCTTTGTGTATTTGCTGACACAATCTGCTTCCACTGCTTCCCTGGGTAGCGTGCTCCACATATTCACCAGTCTCTGTGTACAGTCATTAAGTCTGATCTCTGTTCACCTTCCCTCTTCTCAGCTACATTCTGTGGCTCCTTGTTCTGCTGCTGGTTTTCTGTTTCTGTCTCCATTGCTGTGCTTTGGGCTATGCTAAGGACGGGTTTGAAGTGTCATTCTCTGATGCCTGTAACTTAGCTCTTACATATGTTATGACATTAAGCTGTTGGCTTAATAAGTATGTGGAGTGAAATGATTTTAAAGATCCAATAACAGAAATGAATATAAGAGGATAAACTTGCATTTTTATAGCACATTATCACATTAAAACATCTCAAAGCGCCTTATCGTAATTACTGTGGAATAGAGTGACAATATTTGTAATCAGACATGACAGCTATTTTGCCCCAGCAAGGTCCTACATGCAGCCATGAATAGCATCGCAGGATCTTTAATGTCTGCCTGAAAAATAGGCAGATGTGATCTTAGTTGAACATTTCATCTGGTGGAGGATGATTGACGTCTCCAATATCATAGGGGTTTTTAAGAGGTTAACCAGTTCCTTTGACCTATTAGAAAGTATTGATGATAATAATCCTGGCATTTGATACAACATTGAAATGTTGACTATCTCAAAGGTCTTCACAGGAAATTGATGGTAAGATGTCGTTGTGACTGTGTGTTTTGTAGGCCAACATGACAGCTTTTTGTGCACAGCAAGTTTTCCACAAACAGCATAACATGAATAATTTATTTATTTGGAGGACTGTTGGGCACTGGGAGAAAGTCCGATTTCTTTTTAAATAGCGTCACAGAATCTTTACCATCCACTTGAACAAGAAGATTGGACCTCGGTTTCAACAAGGCAGCATTGCTCACAATATTGCAGTCAACGCCAATTTCCTATGGTCTGCACGATCAAAACTCACGAAGCCTGTGCTTAGCTAGTGTCGGCAGTGTATTTTCTACCAGGGATAAATTAAGAGTCACTTTAAAAACGATGGGGGGAGAAGTTGGTTGTAAGGATATTATCTAATCTGTAGAATGATCTCATTATTCCTGACCTGAAGCTTGCTCCGATGTACTCATGTATATTAATCATCTCTAAAACCCTGTGGTTTTTTCCCCCTAGCGACAAGCACAGTTGCCTGACACAGTTCAAAGTCTGTAAGTAAATAGTGAGGGTTCGCAGACGATGACATTCAACTTAATTAGAAACCAATCCTCAATAGGACTCTGCTGTTTGGCCTGGATACGAAGCATATAAACCCACTCTTGAAAAACCCTCACACTTAGTTGTCAAGTGGCCAGATTCACCTGAGTCACCAGTCCCTGACAGGTTGTGTTTGGTGTATAAATATATTTTAGCAGCTAAAAATTCTCCAAATATTGTTGCGTCAAACAGGAATATTTTGAACACTCATTCATTTTCACAGAGTGCTTTACGAGAGGTTTAATACAATAAAATAAAATAGAAAGACTTTTATTGTTATTTATTATTGATGGAGAAATGAAGATCCACTGGGCTAAATGACTGTCGTCATTTAAACCTCATCTGGCCAAAGCTGGCTTTTTAATGTGTACATCACTCGAGCAAGTTCTTACTTGTAGGAGACCTGACCTGAGATA